TTTGTTGCCTGAAAACTTCATTACCAAACCCAGCCTAAATGCGTTAAAAGAGGGGGTAAAAAAAAAAAAAAATGAACGCAGTTAAAATGGTGCATGGACAAGGAGGGAAGCGGCATAAATGTAACACACACATGTGCACATACATCGGGGTAACCACTGCGCGACATTCACATGATCTTACTATTCCTCCTAGAACGGCTCCCAGGGGGAAGCAACAATTTTCCGCCTTCATCAGGGCCAAGCGAATGTGGTGGGAGGATTCGTCTTCTACGTCCAGCAAACCGAAGATGAACCCGAATATGCCTCCCATTGTTATCGTGAACAATAGAATCAGGTACACCTGAAAAAGTGTGCGCACGAGTAGGGGCGTGTATGTGGAGGAGCGCTCTTCACATTTACGAGTTTGCTTCCAACGTTGCTCTTTCGTTCGCTCGCTCGTTTTGATTCCGTTCGCGCTGTCTCCACTTACCTGCGCTACTGACTCAATCAGCGGCCTCGTTATGGACCCCTGGATAAACCCAATCAGGTAGTTTATCAAATCTATTAAGCTGAATGTCAATGCGAAGGAAATGCTAATTCCGAGGATGCAGTAAATGGGGACTTTGGATAGGGGCGACAGTGAAAACAGCCACGAACGGTCGAAAAAGAGACACAGAATTCCTGAAAAAACAATCTGCAAATGTGAAATGGGGTGGGAACGTGTGAATACATGATGATGTCTTTGCATTTTTAATGATCCAACGTACTCATAGGTAAATATGTATACCCTCTCCTCTGTGCACGTTCGTAAAAAGGCAAAGCCCTGTTTCCGTCGTATCTGCGCGAGATTTGCATCCATACCAGTCCCGCCAAGATCATCAGTTGGTTTCTTCTATTTTCTGCTTCGTCCGTTACATTGGCGTTCAACCTCCAGAAAATTATGAGTCCAACTACGATGAATAGTATACCGAAATACTGCGGAGGGAGGGGCGAGAAAATTGGAAATGTAGTAACGAAGCAGTGGGACGGTTGAGTAGTGGACCGGTGGACCAATTAAATAGTGCAACCAAATGGTGGGGGGGTTCGGTTGCTCCTCCTCGCACAGGTCTAAACTTGTAGGCACCCCTACATCCATGTGTTGTATATTGGGGATCCCATAGATCCCTCCTCACACAGGAAAAAATGAACACAGAAATGTGCACGTTATGTATACATAACGTGCATACAATGCGGTGCGCAAATTACCATGGAAAAAAACTTCGACAGGGAAACCTCAACTAACGTGCAGTTCACTATGAGCGAGCACATAATCCCCAGTATCATCCCCACCACGGCACTTATGGTTCCCTTAACGATCAAATCCTTCGTGCAGTTAATTCGAAATCCAGAAAACTTATCGAAATCTTTGATTTCCATATCCATTGTTGCTACTCCAGTGATGTGATCTCCAAAAAGTTGATGGAAGAGGATGGTGTACTACGCCTTCGACAAATAGATAAGCACGTACGCATAAGTTTATGTAAGCATGTACATACGAAAGGCGTATATATATATGTACGTATGTACAGCACATATGGCACGGATGATACGCATCGCACGTATAATGCTTATGCTTCTCCAGCGATAGTACTGCAAAAAAATTGGAGATGCGTTACATTTCCGAAAGGTAATTTTTCTGCTCTCGCTTCTTTCTCCCTTCGATGTTTTTTTAACTGTACTTGACCGCAAACTATGTGCGGAAACGACTCGTCACGCTTCCATATATCACAGGGTGATTGCGCTTATGTGCTATACTATGCTATGGTATACCACTTACCTTCGCGCATACACTTGGGGTAGGTAATTAACCGAATTTATCACAAGCCACTCCTTTCCATGCGTCCTTCAAAGTGCATTTTCACTGGAAAAAAAAAATAAAAAAGAAAAGTGTTTTCCACTTTTCTTTAAAAATACAGCTTAAAAAAATGAAATTTCGCTAAATTCGTCCCTTAGATTTGTTACACCTAAAAGAAAAAAAAAAAAGATTTTCCTTATTCCGCAAAAAGGGGTGAGCGTTACGTTATGCATACAGAAATGTAAAGTGAAAACGTGCGTATCATTATATGTTGACTTCTTCGCACGTCGCATATGTGACATTCCTGCAAATGTGTTGGTGCGATTTGTCCACCATGATAATATACATTCAGAAAAATTACCGGCACTTTGATCACATATTGGTCCAAGGACATATTTTTTTCTCAGTTCAGAAAATATGCGCCGAACGCTGCGTTGTTTTGTTTTCCCGTAGCTCGCTTATCTGCTCGATCATCTTCGCGTGGTTTTCTTTTCCGAGCCGTTTTCACCTTTTCGTAGCCCCTCTTAACCGTTCCCTTTGTTTCCCCCAGTGGGAAAGACCCAATGGTTAATTTTAAATCCAAAAAATTGCTAACGTCGTTTGGAAAAAACACACCTCAATCGGTTTGCAAATGTTATGAAAGGAAAAAAAAACGAAAAAAAAGGGAAAAGAAAAAAGGAAAAAAATTGGCATAAGAAACACGTAATTTTCTAACCCGCTGTCGTGTAGAGTACCACTTTTGCAATCGCATAAAGGTGAAATGAATGGCGAAACGCACGGTCGTCTTTTATATGTGTATACGTGTAGGTGTGTAAAAGTGTATGTTACGCATATATATATGTGTACACTCTGCTGTTGCGGATGCGCAAGGGATGCAGAACGGTAGATCGGCCTCTTCAATCAAACGTGGCGCGTTTCAAGCACTGTCTTAAATGCGGACCTTTTATTCCCCCATCTTGCTGAATTTGTAACGTGAGCTGCTTCTCCGCAGCTTATTCCTTTTCTCCTTTTAGGGTTCTGTCCAAAAATCAATTTCGTGATTTCCGCTTCACCCACCAGTTGTTTCTTGGCATAACTTCGCAGGGGTAGACTCCTCAAGAGTTTTACTTTTTGCTCCCGAATTGCCTCTGTTCTACCTAAAAGAGAACTCAGTTAAACCACGTTATAAGTGGGTAACGTGGCGTGTGTTACTAAGTGTAGCTTCTTGTGAGGAACACCGCTGTATGCAGATAGACGTACACGTGTGTGTTCGCTCCCCACATTTGCTAAGGTTAAAAGTGTGGTTAAATTCCCGTTGACGTGTGAATTTTACAATTTGGGGTAATTCCCCTTCATCCACTTTGTTAAGCCTCTTTATGCTGCTTCATTTGGTCAAAATATTCTTACCATTTTTCGAGCCCTCCACGTGATGCTAATCCTCAAAAAGATACTCTTTAAACTCTTCCAACTCCTTAAATGGGTACGTCATGGAGTAAATTAAGATGGTTTTAATTTTCTCTGTATTGTAGTACGGTGTTTTGTGTGTTATGTAAATTGTCCAATCTCCTATGTCAATGCTCAGCTGTCAGGAGGGGAATAAGAATTTTCGCAAAGGGGGTTAGCTCCATTTTTTAGATCCAAATGTGAGAGCGAAATCGCACGTAAGCTAAGCACACTTAAAAGGGGAGTCATGCACACATGGGCATGTGCCCGCCTCTTCACTGCGCTACGGCGTAAGTGTTCTACCTGGTCTGGCGCGGCAGCCTTAGCCCTCGATCGAATTTGGTGGAAGTTGGTCTGGTGACGAAATGCACGGAAAAGAAGAAAGGAATTGGGAAAAAAAATGTCAAAAAAAAGAAAGAAAAAAATCAATAAAACCAAGGAAAACCATATGCATTGGTACATGCGCAATAATGCTAGCTAAATAAATAAGTAGAAAGGCGACCATTTTACACCTACCGGTTTTATCTCCTTGAAGCCCTGCGACAAAATTTGCAAGTTATTAATATCTTTTAATCTTCTATAAGCAAGTATTGAATTGATAAATAGCGCGGCCACCAAAGCATAAATGCAAGAGCGAACCCTCATTTTTGCTTTAGTCCGTGGAAGTGGCACATAAGAGAATTTTTCTATGGTGTCGTTTTTTCCGCCTGTTTTAGCTTTTTGTTTTTTTTAATGTAGTGGTTTCTGTTGCTCTTCGAACTTTGGTGACTTGCGAAATAGAGGAAAGTATGCAGAATAAAAATAGATAAAAAAAAAAAAAGTAGTTATAAAATAATATGTCTTATGAATTTCAAAAAATTGTTTCATTTCATTTTTTTCCATTTCACAAATTTCCAATTTTACGTTTTGTCATATGGGGCCACAAATTTACCGGCTCGTGAGCTCATGACGCATTGTGGTGAGAGGTTATGGTGTGTACGTACAATAGTCGAAGGGGAAATGGCTCAGGTGAGGATAGACGTATATACACATGAATACACACCCCAAGGTGGGGAATCTGGGCGTCGTTTCAACGAACTGAATGTGATGTTGGATCAAATTTGGGATGCCGAATTGGTGAGAAAGACCACCATGCAGTTTTTTCCCTCCTTTGTATGATCCTTATGGGGTGTAGATGGATAAAAAGCGGCCCAGGTGTACACACACCTATTTGCATACAGATTACCATTTTAGAAATGTTTCGAGCTGTTTTGTATCATGTCAGGGGGGTATAGGTACTTTCCGTTGTTTCATAAAAATAGCAGTTACTAAGTTTTGCTCGGGGCCGGAAGGCGTCTGTCCGTGAATGCATAAACGGGGGTATGTCCCTACGCGCATATGAACAAATACATATGCGAAAAGAAAAATGATTAAACACAATTAAACAAAGAGTAGACGAGGAAAATTATAAAAATGGAGGAAAAAAAAAACAAAATGGATTTAGCGCAGGAAGTTATTTTGTAAAAATTTACACACAAATAATAAGTGATTATGGGATGACCAAAAGGGAAGTCCCCCTTTAAAAAAAGAAACCTCCAGAGCACCTTCTTGTGAGTGCATTTGTAGAGTATAAAAAATGTTCATCGGGAAGGTTGCAAAAGGGTTCCCCAAAAAATTGCAAAGAAATTTCTGCATTTTTTTTCCATAAACTTTTTTCCAAAAGAATGCCGAAAAAAAAAACAAACAATCCATCTCAACCTGGGAAATGGCAAACTCCCATCCCGCGTCAAAAGGGAGGCAGGTAGTCCGAGTCATCGACAACGATCCGGTACAAAAAGGAATTATAATTGGTGTAATTTTGTATGTTTTTGATCAAAATTTGTCCGTACATCCTATTACACGCCAGGAGATAATTCTCACTCTTTAACCAAGTTGAAACAACAATGTATCTGCTTAAATTGTTGAAATTATTTTTCCTTTTAATTATTTTTGTATATAAGTAACCAGGCTGTTTCTGATAAAACCTGCATAAGTCCTTAAGTTTTTCTTCAAATACGTTTCCATGATTTTCGTTGACTTCAAGAAATGTCAAGTATGCATATTTGTTTTGCTTAAAAATGGGGAAAAATTCATACACGGTATCCATGTCTGGGTTTGCAAAACTGTAGGAGAAGGCTCCCCCAATGACGAAGCACACCAGCCGGTTATATGTACGTATTCGAAATGCGTTGTCAAATATTTTGCCTATCATGTTTTTACTGCTGCATGCTTGTGTGTCTGGGGGCGTTCTGTGGGAGGCGCATCAAGTCGACGCTCAGTTGGCGTTATCCTAGTGTTCCGCGTTAGCCACGTTTTCCGCGTTTTCCACGTTGTCTGCTTGATTCGATTTATCTGCTTTATTTTTATTGGTCACAATTCTACTCTGCGTGTTACTCCCTCTTCGCTTTTTTTATTAAAACATCATGTACCAGCAACAACCTCCCCCGCAAAGACAGTATGATGATTTATTGCCCTTCCCCTTTGAGCGTCGCTGCACCCTCATTTGGTAGTTCTCCTCCTTTTGCCTCTTCTTCGAAATACATGCCGTTCTGCAATTATGAGAATCTCACAGGGTGGATAAAAGCCAACCGAAGTAAGAATCCCCCTCGATGCTTGTGTGCGTTTATGAATACACCTGTCGGGTATGTAACCTACACAAATGTGCAGTTAACCCGTTTCAATAAACTGTTCGCTTAAGGAGGGGGAAAAAAAAAGGAAAGAAACTATTATATCAAGCCAAAAGGAGAATTAAAGATTCACATTTTAATACGCTGCGAAAAAAAATTCACAGAAGTGAGCAGTCAGATATTCTAATAGCATGAAAAAAAAAACGTCATATGTGGTTAATTTTTATGGCACATTTTGGCTCACAAGTTTACGTGAATCCGAGCTTAGAAATGTTGTAAAAAATTGCAAAGGGTGAAAAAGCGGAAATGGTATAACCTCCAAAAGGGGTGAGAGAGAAAAAAAAACGACTCTTTCGAAATGAGCAGCATGCATATCGCAGTATATGCCTGACTTTTTTTTCTTTTTTTTTTTTTAATTTTATTTCCCCTGACTATAGTACATGAGGAAGAAAATGGTTTCTGAATTTATTTTGCTTTTCTCCTGTTCGAATTAATCCCGTGCGACAGTTCCAATGCGATTGTTCCAATGTGACTGTTCTAATGTGACTGTTCCAATGCGACGATTCCCATGAAAACTATGACATTGCTGTATTTTGTTCCCTATTGGTGTATAAACCTGCTGCCGAATTTTTTAGTGACTCTTTGAAGCTCCATCTGCGGTACCATTTGAAGCATCACTTGATGCAACTTTTAATCGCTCCCCCACAATTTTGCCACAATTTTGTACGGACCATTTTGGCCATCCAGTTGGACATTGCACCGCATGAAAGCTAAACACATGCACAGCCTATATAGCCGAAACAGCGTCAGCAAAACGTCTTCGATTATACATATGTACACAACTTGTGAACAGCTTTCACAAATTAAATGACGGAGGACGGGGAAAATGATTACAAGTAAGGGGCAGGGGAAAAAAAGAGCGAAAGACAAACCTGTTCGCAGTTATGTGCACAGGCCTATGTAAAGGCGCATGCACATACGTATGCACAGGCGTGTGCACAGATGAAATTTCCGCTTCCTCGATTGGACATATCTACATAAGCGCTTCTACACACATATGTACTTACAACACGAACGCGACGCGTGTCCGTCCTCACCCATTCACAGAGTTTAGCTTTCTGCGTAGAAACGATACATTAAAAGGGGCTCTATTGAACAAGATAAAAAATAAGTGCATTTATTTTAATTATATCAGAACGTTCACGACCAAGGATCACGAAGAAATGTGAGTTCTCCATCCCTAAGATGTTTACCTACGCATGTACATAATTGGGCGAACATACATAAGCCCGCATACTCCGTGTGGACACCACTGTGCTATTTTGTCTTACGTAGGAGCCCCCTTCAACTAACCCGTTAACTCTTCTTTTCCTTTTCTTCCCCTTCCAAGTGACGTGACATTTGTAAATCAGGACAATTATGAAAAAACCGTGAAAGCAAAAGTAGGAGATAGCATATTAAAAGTTGCCCATGAAAATAGCATAAACATAGAAGGTACACCCAGCAGGGGAAACCACCACTTGTTAGTTTTATCACTTGGCGATGAATTGGTGGAAATACATATCTTGTGCAAATTAATCGGAGTTTCTGTTTTCACATCCGTCTTTCTCCCTCCTTTTGTGTAGGGGCGTGTGACGGTTTCTGCGCCTGTTCCACTTGCCACGTGATCATTGACGAAAAATATTACGACCTTTTGCCGGAAGCGCTTGACAACGAACTTGACATGCTAGAGCTGGCCCCCTGCATAACTGAGACGTAAGGCGGACGGAGCGCGTGCAGGCGTAGGCCCAGTCATTTGCCACCCTTTTCGCAACACCCCGTTTTGTAATACCCCGTTTTATGATACCCCATTTTGCCTGGCTCAGGGGGTGCGCCCAAAGGATGCCCCCAAGTTTATCCCAGATCGTGTTTACACTGCAACACATTGAGGAACCTTTTCCCCCTTGCAGTTCCAGACTAGGATGCCAGGTGAAACTCAAAAAGGAGCTAGACGGAATGAAGATAAAGTTGCCCCCCATGACGAGAAATTTTTACGTAGACGGTTATGTCCCCACGCCGCATTAATTTTTTTTTTTATTGTTTTAAAAAATAATTATCTCATTTGTTTTTTGTTTGACTCATTTTTAAAGGAGCCACACGTGAGTGTGGATATTTTCATTCATATGTCCAGATAGATACACATGCGTGTCTAAACAATTTTTTTTTTTTTTTTGTGAATCCTTCGCCGTTTAGCCTTCATTTTGTCATTCATGTGAAAAAACACAAAATAAACAAGACAAACAGGAAAAAAAAAAAAAACTAAACAAACGTATCTGCATTGTTTAAAAATGTGCAGAATACGGCTGCGTTATGCATCACCTCAGGGACTCCTTTTTTAGCTTCCTCATTTTGTGTGCACTGCACGCCAATCTCATCGTAGGTACTTCTTCAAATTGAATTTCCTTAAGTACGATGATAACATTTTGACAAGAACAAGGTAACGGGGAAAAGGGAAAATTAAAGTGACAAGCGATTAAACAGGAAAAGGTGTGCATTTTAAATTGTGCTGGCACAGCGGTGTTGCGCATGTGCAGAAGTGTGACAATATTATATTTTCGCTTTTCTCTGTTTTTCGTATCTCGGCCTTACCTCTTCTCCTCCGAAAAGCGCTTCTGTTGTTCTTCAAGCTGGTCGTGCACAAAAGGGGAATTCGCCATATGTCCACGTGTAGAGATAACATGTGCATGGACAAATGCACCGACATAGTGTACACGCAGGCAGAGAGGCCTGTGCGCGTGTAACCCCAAATGCCTACGTCACGTATTCTTGAGAAGGCCATGTCCATCTGTTCTTCATTTGTCAGTTCTCTATTTTCCGAGTCGTTTAGTCGCTCCGGGGTGTTACTCTGAAGGGGAACGCATCAAACATTGTGTGGCGGATTTGTGTCACAAAGAAAAGCACGCAACTGAGTTTTAGAAGCAACCACATTAAAGAATAGGAATGATTTATTCCACACATATGTTGTAGTGGTCTTCCACTCCGCATAGCAATTGTTAAGGGACATATTTTTGTTTTCTTTACTAGTATGAACTGTTCCAAGTCGTCTGCACGTGTTGACAAAAAGAAAAGAGGGTTAAAGTGACATGAAGGATGGGGGGTTATTTTTTCCATTCAGCTGGAGTGTCACGGAGTTACGGTGCTACGGTCCCACACTGCCACAGTGTCATGATGTAACGATCCTACGCCTATGGCACAAAAGGAATAACTAAAAAGAAGCACTCATTTAGGAAAATTAAAATGAACTATAACCATCGTCCATCCTGCTAATGATGATATACGGAACGGGCTCACCAAAGCTGCTTTCATTTTCATACTCCTCGTCCGGAAATAAGTGTGACAAATCCTCGTGATCCTTAGCATTAGGGAATTTTATTTCGAGATCTAGTGATTTGTCACGCTCGTGTTCTGTAAAAGGGTTGGAGCAGAGAGGTGCTCATGTGTGGAAGTATAAACGTATGGTCATTTAGTTTAGTAATCTATGTAGATGCGTTTACTTAAGACTGCATGAGGAGGAGTGGCCCCCTTGCGAGGAACACCTTTTTGTAAGAAGCCAAACCTGATTGATGCGCATTCTTCTCATCTCGCACATCGTACAAAATGCTTTCCAGCTCCGCCAAGATGAACTTGGAATTGTCGTAGATATTTGATAATTTATCGTAAGAACAGAAGACGCTGGAACAGTTATGAAGGCCACTTCCGTTGTAGACGTTCGTCTCGAAACATTTTATATTTGACAAGAGGCACAAAATGGCTATCACATATGTGGAGAGTATTCTGCTCATTTTGACATCAACACGGGGTGAGATCGAAACGCACAGTTTGTTTCGAAGAGGATAGGTCGGGTCAGCACATGCGCTAGGGTGGATACATAAACCGACATGCACTTACACACATAAATAGGGCGCTCTTATGGGGAGACACAATTTTGCGATAGGCGGAAAAAGTGCAAGGTGATAACAAAACGGTGAAAATGAACTCAAGAGTGGAGGTGCCAACATAGGGTTAACAAAAATGGAAGGAGGGAAGTGAAGATAAGTCAACTGTGGTAATATCAGTGAGGACAGAGGGGAAATTTTCATCTGTTCAAATTTGACAATCCACGCAGAGATGAGTTACATGCACTTTTTACCATTGCTCTGAGTCTCTCCAAAAATGGCTAATTAGAAGGCGCTACCTCTCATCATCGTAGTGGTACACATTAAGTGTCTCAACGGAATGGTTAAATGGGTGTATCTACACGCCTGAATGGGGGAAAAAAAAAGAAACATGCCGCGTATTTTAATTTGTCCCTTTTTTGGAACCAAAAAAAGAAGAAGGAAATGCGAGTGGAAAAGTGTTAATCGTTTTTTTTTTTTTTTTTTTACCACTAACCATTGTTTCCTACAGCAGTGGTTGTAACGACGCCATAGCTAAGCTGAAATGGGGGGCCTATAACATAGGATTATGTATTTTTTTTTTTTTTTTTTTTTTGCTTTATCAACGTGACTCCAAAAAAGGAGCAATAAGTTTTTAGCACAACAGGTTTGAAATATTTTTAGGAGGCATTCATTAGACCTATTCGCTTTTCCTCTTTTTTACAAATTCTGAGAATTGGTGGTGCCCGGTCTGCAACATCGGTTGCGTGAAATTATATGGGGAAAGGTTGGGGGGGATGGAAAAAAGGGGAAGAAAAAGAAGGAATACCCTCGAAAGGTTCCTGAGGTGCTACTTACGCGTTTTAAGAAGGAATGATTACTCCCCATTTTGCAAGTCAATTTAAAATTGTAAAGGTATACAACAAATGCATGCATTTTGGAAACTTTTTTTTTCCTTTCCAGGCGGGAATACTCCTTTTTTTATTTTTCGACCATTTGGCAAGGCACAATGCAGTTTTCGCCCAACCTGCCTAATTTAATAATTACTCCTTTCGCCTTTTTTACGCTGCGTCACAAGAAAAATTAAGTTTCACCACGAAGAAGCAATTTTTTCCGAATTGATGATTTATACATAGAAAAAGTGTTTTAATAAAATGAAAACGCGTGATGACATTGTAATATATACACTTCTTTAAGTATGCCAGTTTTATGAGGCTATAATTCTCTTTTTCAACTTCTGCGAAATACGCACATTTATTTTTTTCCCTTTTTTGGTTTAATTTTCGCGCGGTTGTTAAGAGCGTTTAGTTAGGAGTGGCCAGGAGGGGCGTTTTACTTTGGTACTTTTCATGAGCGGCACAGTTCGTGCAGAGTTGGCGTAGGTGAAGTGCGTCTCGCAAATAGCATAGCCATCTCCCCTCTGAAAATTTTGTCACCATCAGGTACACAGCATCGGCTACACAGCATCGGCTACGCACAACCGGCTACGCAGCATCGGCTACATAGCATCGGCTACATAGCATCGGCTACACAGCGCCGGCTACCCACAACCGGCTACGCAGAACCGGCTACCCCCCATCTGACCCTCCTCAACCCCATAATGGAAGCGAAGCCAACCCCGCCAAAGCAAAATGTAGCCACACTAAAGAACATTTTAGACGCAAAACTATCCAAGGATAGTCAGTACAATGACAGAAAAATTAAGCACAACAAAAATTCACTTATTTTGAGTAAACAGTTTTATGGAATAATTGGAGGAATTACAATTGGAATTTTAGGGGTCCAAGGCACTTACGGTTTTTTGCTCTTTTCCATATTCACAGCAATAGGGACATTAATGACCTTCTCTCATATCAGAAATGACTTTAAGTCCTTTTTTATGAAACCATCGGACGTTTTCTGTCGTGACTTTTTTAGTGGATTGATCGTAAGCCTCTATGCGAATGCACCCTCTCTGCGAAATCCACCACCACCTTCCATTTAGTATTAACTCATTTGGGCGTACATCTGAACACCCGTTTAAAGAACCTGTTATTTCCCTTCATGCTTCCACAATCTCTCCTGTGTGCATATATTTTTCCCCTCTTTTAGTCCTTCATTTTATTCTGGACCTTATCCTACGATCTAATATACATTTTTTAAAGATGCTCTTTTTTTTTCAAACCCCCATACATGGATGTGCCAACGTTATGAAGAAATAGAGTTATAGTCCGACCGTTCATTCCAGCCCCTCTTTGCTATTGCCCGTACGGTGGGTGCACCGAACCCATGCTTCTCCTACCCTCTTCCCCCTGCACGCCGTGAGAAGTATGGACTTGGACCTAAATCTACATGAGAAATACTTCCTAAACACGATAAAAGAAAAATTAGGAAAGAACTCTCCTGAAGTGAGCGTATCTAGTAAGTATGAATCGATTTTTATCAGTGGCATTTTTTGGGTTCTAAGCGGGCTCACAGTAGTAAGGAAGAACAGAAAGAGCCTCGATGAGGTTCTCGACAGGAAGGTAATAGACACCCTCTACTCCATAGTAATGCACTGTTTGGAGAAAAAAAAAATTAAACAAAAATACATATACAAGTTAAAAAAGGAAAAGCAATTTTTATCAAATGAGGATATTGACCAAATAGTTGCTGCGTCGAAAAGTGGCCCTAGCGGTTTGTACGCGATGGTTTCTACCAGAGGGGAAAACAGTGGAATACCAGCCCAGTGCGAAAATGTCCCGACTGGTCCTGGCCCCATTGGAGGGAACTTACCCCAAATGGAAAATGATAACTTCGCAAATGAAAGGAAGCCATATGACGTATTAGGATGCTTGAATCGCCTAGACTGCTTAGGTGGCGACGAGGGAGGATCTAAAAAGACGTGCGACAAAGAAGCAGTGTTAACCGAAGCAAGGAATGCCAAACGGATAGATAGCCCAGAATGTGCAAACGGAGTGGAAGAGGATGTGTCTAACAGAACGGTGAAGACGACAAGTGTGGCCAAAAAGAAAAAAAAGATATTCCATCTAAATGGATTCAGTCCATGCAGCAAAAGCAGCCTATACGAGGCGAACGTAATATCCACCTTAAGCGCCATCCAAGTATTATTTTTGTTGAATAAAATAAGTGAAGAAGATATAAGCACGAAAATGATCCTGGAGATATACAATTTTGTCTACTTCCTTTTTGATGAGAAGAAAGGTTTCTACCACTTCTCACTAAGCAGTGCAAGGTTTCAATTCGATGGCGATATGCGTTTCATGTTCTGTTCCCTATCTGTTTTACATTTTTTATCCCTCCTGTTGAAAAAGAGAAATGTTCCTATCAATTTGTATAACAATGACAAGAGATGTGCCCACTGGATATTGACCTGTTTGAACTTGGATGGAGGTTTTTCGAATGTCCCGGGGTCAGAGTCACATGCGGGCACGACGTTCTGTGCGATCAATTCGTTAAACTTGTTGAGGGTTAGGGGCAGTGGCAACTACTTGTCAGATAACGGCCTGTTACGGGGGAAACTAATTAGGTAAGCAACCTGCCAGCGGCTAATACGATTGTGCGAATCACGAAGTTGGGCGACGCCTGAGGGGAGCGCAACCTAATACGCTTCAAACTTTATAGTGAACGATACGCATAATTTGGTATGCACATCTGCATACGCCCATAGACACCTATGCACGGCTGCCTTATATTTGTATACATCCCTTCCCCCTCAGATGGCTCTGCGATAGGTATGACAACTTGGGTATTAACGGACGTGTCGGAAAGGATCATGATGTCTGTTATGCGTGGTGGGTCTTGGGAAGTTTAGTTGCCCTGAAAACAAATTTAACTGAACTGTTCAATGTAAACATTTTAATTACTTTCATTTTGACGTGCCAAGATAAACGGAAAGGAGGTTTTTCCAGAACGGCATCTAAAACCAATGAGGGTAGAAATAACCCCTTTTATTTTTATGAGGGGAGAAATTTATCCCACCAAGAAGCGGACCTCTTTCATAGCTTCTTCGCCCTCTGTGCTCTCTCACTTATATATCACAATTTTTGTCGTTATAAAAAGAAGCACAGAAAGACGTTTCAGCTCTTCGGTGGGAATGTAATTCCACAGCAGTTGGAGTCCACTCTCACCCAGATGGTCAACGTACATGTGTCCTTCGCGATGCCCGTTCGTATGACCTTTATTGCACCCTTTCCCGTAGGGCATTGCGTGTGCCATAGATAGGTGAAAAAAAAAAACCTTCACTTCTGTCCATTACATGGAGCTGCAAACTTGTGGGTGCCTTTCCATTTGGTATAGCGTGCACCCCAACTTTTTCTTCACATGATATTTTCAAATTTGTGATTCGATGAGGTCGCTTGGGATTCGCGTCAAGCAGGGCGAACAATTGCTTAAAAGAAGGGACGCGCATGCCCCGATTGGGAATCGCCAAGTTAGGATTCAACCAGATTCGCGCTAAAAAATGGGTGACCAATGTGTGCATTTCGACATGTACATACATGTTTGTGTGCACTTTTGCCCACGTTTTAACGCATACGTTTTTGTTCTTCCCTCCCTGACTAAGTGCTCACTTGTAAGTCTCTACACCAGTAAGTCGACCTTCGCAAAACGTCCCATATATTTTTGGCACAAAGTAGAAAAAGAATTTTTCATTTAAGACGAGGGAGTAAATAAGAGGAATGTTAAAACTGACCTGGGGGATGGGACCTATAAATGTATGCTCTACTACGCATGCCCTAACCAACAGTTTGAAAAACGCCCCCTCTTTCTAATTTAAGACGACACGTGTAGGGTACTATAACAAACAAAATGTATTCCACTGCGCGGAACTGGCCAAGTAACAACTCCCTTCCAACGTCAGGTGTGCCAATTAATTTCGTTAACCATCTCGTTTGGTAACATTTTCCCATTCATTCGTTCCGGCGCTTACTCCTCCAGTTCTGATCCCTCCCCCCCTTTTTGATTAATTATGACATATATAAGGCATCCGCAGGCTTCAAAAATGGCTGAATTTGTCATGACCAGAAGAAAGTTTCACAACTATTTCGCAAAAGATACGTTAAGACAAATTCTAAAAAATGAACAAATCAATTTTAACCAGCTTCACAAAAGAGTGTACGTTGGAAATTCCCCTCTTAATGGGGTTGGTATATTCTCATGCGACGAAATAAAAAAAAATGAAATCATTGAAATATGCCCAACGGTCAAAATGAAAAATGAAGATATCCCAGAAAAGCTGGTTCATTATTTATTCGAAAGCAAAAAAGAAAACATGAACACACAAGTAGTTAAAATTGTCACGAAAAGGAGAGAAGCCATCAATTATAAGCTTTTCCCCTTGGGCTACGGAATTTTATATAATCATTCAGATCGTCCCAATGCCTTTGTTCATATAGTGTTGCTGAGGGAAGAGAAGGAAAAAAAGTCTCACCAAGCTGACGAGGTTGACAAGGAGGAGAAAAATGTCCAAAAAAAATTGCCTTTCTTTCAAACTTGTGTGTGTTGTAACGGTCAATAGATATCCCCCCAGTGATCAGCCGTCCACACATTACATCGTATCAGATACTCTATCCTTTTTTATTTGCCTCTTTTATACGCCATGCTGTTGTACCATACCATCCGTCGTGAAATGTGCCCATTTTGTAACTCCCTCCCCCCCCTTTCTTCACCCCGCAGGAGACGATAACGTGCGACCAAATAATGATATTTCGCGCACAAATGGATATTCAAAAAAACGAGGAAATTTTCATTTCATATGGGCACTCGTGGTGGAAGGTAAGCTACGGACGAAATGGCTCGATCGTTGAAGGGACTCGGAAAAATTAAAAAGTTCCAGATTAACATGAAAGAGGTTTTTCACGGGGGCATGTGCACGCACACATGTATATACACACTCCACATATATATATGTACGTATGTGTGTATACTCGTAACAATGACAAAGCTTTTGTTTAAAAAAAGCGCGCAGATATGCTATTAAGTGGCATACTGTGCCCGCGACATACGTACGAATTCGTGATTAAAAGGAGAATTCTCGCAGGAAAAAAAAGAAAAAAAAAAAAAAAAAAAGAAAAAAACTACGAAACAACTTCGCGAAATATGCACCTGATGTCAAAAATGAAAAATAAAGTGTTCCTTTGGTCGTGCAGAAGTGGGTGGTACTTCAATCTGTACACTCACGGATTACACGTGGAGGCGCCTTTTACGAGAAAACGGAAATGAAAAGGGGGCAAATAATTTGTAACCACAAGAGGGGGATCAATCTTTGACACCAGAAACTGCGCTCGTTTTTTTTTACCACATTTTTGTGGCCCATTTTGTACTCCATTTTGTGCCCCATTTTGTGCCCCATTTTCTATCTCCCGTTTCTGAAACAGGACAGGGACTGGACGCCTCTCCAACGGGAAGACACCATGAGCAAAATTTTTTATCCAGCCAAACAAAAAAAATAATTATCTTAAAAATATGTACTTCGTCAGGGATAGCATTAAAATGGAAAAAACGATGAACACGAGATTGATTGCAGTCAGGAAAAAGAAATTTGGCAGGAAGTAGTCGTAGAGCTGAAAAGGGAATACAAACGGGGGGGGGGGTATACGCGAATGTCTAAGTGTTTGTGCGCTGGGGACATTGCTACGGTGGCAGAGCGTGCACTGTCCCTATGGGTCGGTACATACAGTTGGGCGTCGTTGCTCGGTCTCTTAACGATGCGCACGCATTCTCCCATTTGCGCATTTCTCCCAGCGCGAGGTGCTTACCATGAGGTGAAGCTCCAGGTAGAAGGCCACCCACAGGGCTGTAAGAGACTTGCAGCAGAATAAGAAAATGATCCTAAGGAAGTGGGAAAAAAATCGAAAAATGAAAAGAAATCGAAAAATCAATATAATCAAATAAATGAATAAGAGGGCGTCATAACAGAAGTAAATATCGCTGCTACGCTGACCTACTGGCACAGGTGGGTCCACTGCGCATACCGACGGGGCAAGCCCCCCGCCCCTTTTTTGCACAGCGCTGCGACTTACTTGAAGAAAAGGTTGATTAGTGGATAGAAATAGAAATTGTAAAAATCGACTCGCTTAAAACACGTCAGCATTTTGATCTTCCTCAAATTGAACACATAAAGAATGAAAAAAAGAAAAAACAGCATCGGGAAAAACATGTGAATAAATAGGTAAACCTGACTTATAGGCCAAACATATTTATTAAAACCGATGTATGCTGAAGGCAGGGGCAAGCTATTTATGACAAATTTTTGGCCAGTTAAAAAGAAGGTGTATTTTATAAGTATAGCTGAGAGTAAATAAAAATCGGTGTCACTGAGACAGAAGAATGGAAAGTTCTTTACTAATTTGTAAATTTGAATTTGCGTGGCATCTGTTTCATCAAGCAAGGTGCACTTCTCTAGCAAGGTACATTTCTGTTGCACAAGTTTGAGATCAAATTTTTCCTTGACCCATGTATTCACCTGACTCCTTTCAACCGTTTTTTTTTCGTCTTGAAAATTCGTAAACATATGTACCTTTCTATTTTCTTCAATCCATTTTATTTTAATGTTATTCATATCTTTATTTTCTTCCAAATTATTCGTACTCACAAAAAAAAAGTAAAAAAAAAATAACGTTGTGTAGAAGAATAGCAAGACACTCAGGTTTGTGTTGCTATACACGATGAGCGATAACTGGAGGGAAGAAAACAGGATCAGGAACAGAGTTATAGAAACTTCGTGTATCTTCCGGAACGACTCTGGTACTCTTTCCTCTTGTATTATGCTGCTTTTTCTTAATATGACGAACAGGCACAGCAAAAATGTCGTCAGGTAAACACCTGGGGGGTGCCAAAATATCACTTGCTCGTTAATTTTAAGGAAATACAAAAATACTAAAGCGAACTGCACGGTCCATCCTACCAACATGACCATTTTTATTTCCCTTTTCAGGATCTTGTTGGAACCGCAATTAATAAATAAGGTACTAAAAAAGTATAGCGAAATGGGTAACGCCATTTGCAACACGGATTTCTTCAGGTACAGCTTTTCCATGTCATGCTCGAAATATCCCGGCGTGAAGCTCAACGCCGCGTTCACGACTAGGACGATGAGGAGGACGAGCCCGCTGCGAAGGTGGATGGGTAGACACATGAGGGATAGAAACATTACAGCGATGTGTGTTATGTAGGAGGGTATACACACACATTCCCCTCCTGCTTACCGCAAAAGGTGGATGGAGAAGAACGACTCGCACTTGAACAGAGAAAGCACCACGTAGGCAATTAACACGAAGTGAATGTAGTGCCTCTCCTTGAATATGTAGTAGAAGGACAATTCACACGAGCTCCAAATGGCGACAAAAAGGAAGTAGTTATTATTCATTAGCGTTTTGAGTATCTTCTTTTTTACAGAGAAAATGCATTTAGTAATGTTAAATATATGTGGAAAGACTATATTTATGCTTCGCGTGATACTTCTCTTGATTATGATAAAAAGGCATTTAAAAAATCGGAAGCTTTTTCTAAGAAAGGTGTTCTTGGCATCATCTCCTGGGTTCTTCACATACCTACTTTTGTCCTCATGAATGGCGTTTTTATCTCGTGGCTGTATAGCTGTGTATTTCTTCAAGTTTGCCTCTGGGAGGTTGCTACATACCAGGGATACCTTGACATAACTAAAGAATCGGAAAAAATCCGTGTACTTATTTCTAGAGAAAAAGTTCCCAACGATTACAAGGATGAACAGGAATGGCAAGAGGAGTAGGTACAAGCACTTATTATACATGTCTAGTGGAAGAAGGACAATGAAAAAAACAGTGAGGAAAAGAATGAGACTGTCAGCTGAAATGGACTTGTAGTAGGAATTCAATTTTGAGTTAAGGTAAAATATTTTAAATATGATCAAAAAGAATATGTTCACAATTAGGCAGAGGACAATAAAGGATGGCTTCTTGACAGCAAAAATGACGTAAAAATATTTCTGGGTAACTTCCATAAGATTTCTCATTTTGTTTATATATTTTATGTACTCTTCCTTATCACTTGTTAGAATTTCTTCTATGTCTAGGAATTTTTTATTTGCTTGAAAAAATCGCGGCATTTCTTCTTCTATATGTTTCCAATTATTTTTAATAAAAAAATAATCTTCATTTTTGAGGACTCGATAGTGTTTTTCGTACTCGTTTAGGTATCTATTTATCTGCCACAAGTTGGCATAATTCAGTTCTGCGATGTAGTGTAAATTGAGCACCTTGTGGTATAAATTGGAGTACTTCCCATCATCTTGGTTCAGTTCTGCACTGGTTTTACTATCCCCCGTGGGGTCCTCACTGGAGGGGTTGCTTTTACTTTCGTTTCCTTCCTCTCCATGATTAGAAGCTGCATAAGACGCAGAGGCAGCGGTGGGAGAAGCGTACCCAGTGGAAGAAGCCGGCGCTATAGATGGGGCACCCTCCTTGTACGCGTTCGGTATAAAATCCATGATAACGTTTCCGACGTTGCAGAAGGGGATGGTGGATCCAATCAAGAAGGATAACGTGCTCACCAAGTTTATTTGTCTGGTGTGTCTAACATCGTAGAAGTAAGATCTGTCCTTATTCGAATCATTCAAAGCGGAATGGTAATTTTTATAGCTTTCTACAAAGCACTGATCCTCGTCTGGGACGCAGGCACTAAATTCAGAGGGAAAATCGGAGTCGTTTCTCTTCAGCTTGTCCTTATCGTATAGAATAAATGTCTTATTAATTATCTTCTTATCTAGAGGCATAAATTTCAATGGGGAATAGATGAACAGAGAGGTATCCGTCTCATCTGCACTGAATCCACTGTGATCTCCTGTGCGTGTTTGTCCATGATCACCAAGAACAACAAAAAGGGTTTTTTTTTTTTTCTCCTTCTCTTCCGATTTAATCTTCTGTATTATATCGTTTACAAAAATATCGAAATCTTTTAAGACATCTTTCATCATCCTCGAATTGGGTTTCCCTACATGGCCTACGTGATCTACCCCCAAAACGTGTACATAAAGGAAATCCCAATAATCCAAAGGATACTCTTCATAAAAATGATTCTTCGACTTCATGTCTAGATCGTACAAATCGAAGATGTTAAAACTTTCGTACACTAATTTTCTTGAAACATTTTTTGTCAACTTTACAAGGGTGTCATCCCCGATAGCTGTGACCGTTTTTCTATTATAGTGAAGTTGCTCTATGAAATTATCTTGTATATCATCACTTGCACTAAAGTTTTCATTTAAATCTAAGAAATTTGGTATGGACCCAATGACCATAGATTTTAATCTCGACGTGGTAACCGTAGGTGCATCTGCTTGGAAACGAAATAACATGGTTTTATCTTTCTCTGTCTTCAACATGTGGTGCAAATACATCATGTTGTTTTGGAAAAATCTCACCTCCTTTGAAGTGTTTTTTTCTTCATCTACCCATTCGTCATCTTCTTGCTCTTTTTTATAATTCGGATCGTATAGCGTAAAATCAAACCTCAGGGAATCTATCATTAACACGATTATTCTGTCGTAAGGTGCATTCATAATGGAGTGGACATTTTTTTTACTCTTCAGGGATTCTATGTATTCATCGCCAAACACCTTTCTGCTAAAGGTTTCCAAATCTTCCGACTTGTTTGTGATTCCTTCTCTAGGGAATAGGAAGCCATTGATGAACGAGAAGAACATCAACAGGTTCAACAGAAAGAGAAGGAAGAATATTAATACATGATTGGATAGGAAGTTACCAAAGAGGTTGTATTTCACTTTATCCTTCATTCTGGTCCTGTCTAATTGGTGTATTCTCTGGGGGGGGGAGTGACGATGGCTCTGGATTTCTCCTCGCTCGACCAGCACGCGCGTGGGCCGCTACATAAGCGGGACGCTACATACGTGGGGTGCTATGTACTTGGATTGCTATGCACTTGGATTGCTACGTACTTGGCTGATACGTGCTTGGCTGATATGTGCCTCGCTGATACGTGCACACAGTTCTACCTGCGCGTGCGACTGTTCTCATGCACACGGTTGAACACCCATGTAAGGGTCACAAACGCTACACAGAAACGTTAAAAGAAATGGTGCGCGGAATTACAACAAACGGAAAAAAAGCGAACGAAGGGGGGATACGCCGATGGATGGAACAAGCTCGAACGGATTACTTTCTACGCTTGGGTAGGTTACTACCATGAGTGGACAGTTAACTCGGACATGTGACTGCCCCATGTACAGGCCGTTTTGTGAACTAATGGCCCATTCGTCTCTTACGTTGGCAATACGAGGGCAAAACAGTACCAAATGGCCGACCGACAGGGGAACGAACGGGCTAATATATAGAGATGTGCGCAGACATAATGCGTGCGCCCATCCGTACATGCATGGCAGAGGACGAATAATCACAAATGTTACTTAAAAAAGGGGCAAACACGGGCCATGTACACTTACACGTAGGTACATACATGAACATATTCGTACAACAATATAATTAAGCATAACGTAATAATGCGCCAAAAAAGAAAAAAAACAAAAAAGAAGAAAAACTTAGGTTTAAAATCTCTAAAATGTTTAAAATAAAAATTACGCATACTTTGTTGAAGAAATGCCCTTTGATTAATGAACGACTTTGCACAATACTCAGGAGGGAGCCGTAAAAAAAAAAAAAAAAAAAAAATTATGATAAAATTTCACTTGCGTTTCCCCTTTTGCATTTTTAAAATGCTTCACAATTCGAGAAGGAAAAAATAACGACAAGTACATAAGCGCACTTTTTTAAAATCACCAAAACGTTTGCAAAGAAGGAGACCAACACACAATGTACATTTCGTATGCCCTGTTTGAAATGTCCATGCGATGAAAACTTAGGCGGTAGTTTACGCGATTGCGCATTTTGAGATACCTCCTCGGGTTGAAATTGGGAATCTCGGCAGGGGTGTACAAAACAGCAGTGGTTGCCAATCATGCGATCGCACTTCTATTCATGCTAATTACATGCGTAGGTATCTCCCACTGTGCATACACGCTTAGCGGCGAAAGAGGCACGGCTCGCCAAACAGTCAAAAGGAATACAATGCCGTAGGAGTTATCCTAAAATTAACACTCTTTTCTCCACAGCTGTCCAGCCGTTCCATAGCGTATAATTCGTATAGCAATAAGGACGATTAAACAAAATGTTCAAATTTCAGAAGCTAAGAACGACGTGGAATGAACTGGGGAGGACGGCAAAAGTAGTGTATGGGTGCTTCTTCTTCAACATCGTTTTGCTCATGGGGATAACCACTAGAAGGCACATGGCTAACAAAAGGGCGCTTGACTTTTATACAAACAAAATCATAGATTCCAATAGCGAAAACGACGACTGGAGTTGTTACAACTCGGCGAGGCAGTATCGCTACGAGTGCGCGTATCTGAGCGAGTAAGCAAGCGTAAATCGGAAAAAGGAGAAAAAATGAGCCACACAAATGGAGTGGCAAAAGAAAGCCCCCACAACAGCACACCTCGCGGGAGTATATGTCCAACATGTCCACAAATGTTCACCTGTGTGTGTTCCTTCTTGTGTGCACTAAATGGACACCACTAACACACATGAATCATAAAAAAGCGAAGGGGTTATTGCTGTCATGTACATTTGGCCATCTCTATGCGCCCATTAAAAAGGACCCATCTTGGCTAGTAGACATTGTTGCACACAAAATATAATCGTATATTTTTTTTTTTTTTTTAGGGAAGAAATTGAACACCTGGGGATATGTCAAAAGCTACATTTGGAATTGGAGAACTGCCGAAACGATCTGTACAAACATATACGGGAAGATACTCCCGCTATGAAAAAAACTCCGTACATCTTAAACAAGCCAATGTGGATAAGAGACCCAGTTTGGTTTCAAAATATGCAAAGCGAAAAGAGTCACTAATTTTAAAATTGCAGAGGGGGAAGGAGGTGTTTACAATTTGGAGAAGTTCTCCCCGCAGCGTAAAATAAATGTCACTGCTAGGCGCGGCATCTGCATGACACAGTACACCCCTTTGCAGATGGGGATGTGTTACTTCGGTTCTCCGCTGCTTTTGCAATTGTGCTTTCTCTGCATTCTGTGCGTTGTTGCCATTTCGTTTTTTCTCGTTGATTGACCCCGTCACTTATCCGTTTCGCTCAAATGGATAATCGCAGCTGTTTAAAGGTCTCTCCTCACTGGGTGTTTTAAAAAGGAGTGACACAGAGCGTTATGTTTAAACGTTCCAATATTTGTAGACGGCAAATGTATGTGGCAAATAATTTTTTTTCCCCTCTTTTTGTACCTTTGTCAATTCTTTCAAAACGATGTAATTAAATGGTTTTTTATTTTTCCCCCCAATTATCAAATGCCCTTCCATTTCGTGGATCCATTTATGCGGCGCAAATTAAAAGACTCCTCTCATATGTTCCTTTATTTATCTATATTTTCCTTCCGCAACCCCCCGCGGGATTATTTATTGCGGCACTGTATAAATAGCAGCAGCAAAGCTGAAATGTATGAATTAACAATACCCGGGTGGCCGTTCCATAAATTATGCCCACGTAGGCATCATTTTTGCATTTGCTCTGCCTTTGTTTTGCGTTTCTCTTGCGTTTGTTTTGCTTAATATGCGCAACGCAAGTGGGCTTAAACGTACAGGTGCGTGTACACTGATAAAGTTACGCCTACATGATTTATACCTGGGAGGAGACACTGCTCAAATTCCTCTGCCTCAGCCAACATGACATTTTTTGTAAAGGTTCACCAAATTTGTTTTTAACCTTTCACGCCCTGTATCATTTTACGTTTTGTTTTAATTTTTTTTTTTAAAACGTGGTGATAACGAATAACACAATGTTCGTGGCAGTGCTCAGAAGGTGAAAAGTGAGCCTTTTTTTAATGGGGCAATTTAACTGTTCCTTTGAGATGCATTAAAAAGGATTTTTTTTCTCTCTCGCCCATTAAGTTGTTTTCATGTTTGAGAAAAGGAGAAGCCTTTCCTGTTTTTTTTTTTTTTTTCGAAAATTTCCCGCCTCCTTTTTTTAATACATAAATACATACAATATAGGAAGAAATACATTTCTTTGCGTTCATTTGAACAAACCACGTGTAGTACAGCACAGCCACAGTAAATACTTGCATGAAATTTCCCATTTTTCTCTTCTGCTAAACAACAGAGCCATTTTTGCTAAACGTAAGCCCCCCCTTTGCCAACCTCTTTACAAATGGCAATTAAAAAAAAATAAAGAGGAACTCCCTTACGGCGAAATGAACTTTTCCTGCAATATTATGCCTGGGGAAATTTTGTTAGACACTCAGCGAAGCCAAAAGTTACCCATCCAGCGTAAGAGCAGCAGGCGTTGCGCGTGTGGCAGCTCCAGGTACGTCTTGCGAAGGCCACAGTGATATACCGGGTAGTTGGGGAAGCAGCGAAAGGTGCGGAAGTTGCAGAAGTAGTGAGAAAAGCACGAAGAGCTCGTAGAGGCAGACCAAATATCGAGGAACCAGACCGAAGCGTGGGACACAGCGCAGGAATCCAAAGGAAGAGGCGCTCGAGGGGGCACACATACCAGAGACTCGGCCATGCCAGCGTGAAAATCCTTCAGGAGGCCAAAAAAAATGAAGAAGGAAGTAGATTTTAACCTCCTCTACGACGAGGAAAAGAAAAATCTGGTGGGGTTGCTAATCGAAAACAATTTCGACGAAATATACGAGCCGATAACAACAGAAAGTCTCCGATTTTTTGTGCCACTCAACGGAGCGTGCCTAATCGATTATCAATTACACTTCTTCAAACAAAATAATATTAAAAAAATTTACATAGTGGTGACTCATCACGAGAAGGAGTTGCAGCATTACATTCAGAAATTTCAGAAGAGCAAAAAAAGGTACAACGATTTAGACATTGAAATAATTAAATTGAGTAAAAAGGTAAAAACGTTAGGTGACGCATTGCGGGACTTTAAAAAATGTGTGGAGATTTATCAAGACATATTATTGCTCCTCTCCGATACAATTCCAATTGCAAATATAAAAGAAATTATAAAAGCTCATTTTATAAACAAGGAGAAGTGTAAAAATCAAATTATGACTCTTATCCTGTCCCACTGTAGTGATGAGAATAAATCCCACAATGACGATTTTGTCATTGCGTACGATAATTTTTCCTTCAAGCTTCTCCTATTTGAACCCCTTAAAAATAAAAATTATTTAATATTGACTAGCGAAATATTTGATGAGATAAAGCCCAAGGATGGGAAGAAGGGAGCAAACGGGACAGGTGCCATCGGAGTGAGTGGCGGTGGGAAGAAGCACCAACAGTCGTCTCTCTCCAAAGTAGGAGAAAATAAAGAATACCATGCACCAGCCATCAATTTTAGTACCTCCACCAACTCCATAATAATCTCGTATGACCTTGTAATGCCAAACATTTTTATTATCACCCCGCAAGTTTTCAAATTGTTTGAAGAGAATTTTGACTACCAGTGCATGAGAAAGGATTTCATATACAACATCCTGAGGCAGGAAATTAAAATAGAAGAAATTTACGTGCATGCTTTGAACAACGATTATAACTACACCGAATGTAACCAGATAATTACAACCTTGACAGATTTTCGGATTTATTTTAAATTTTTTAAAACATTAATTGAGAGAAATGTTCACCCCTTTTTAGCCAACTCTTCGCACCTTTTGCCTGACCTACCCAAATATATCTTTTGTGAACCGGGATTGTATAAAGGAAAAAGTTCCATCATTGATGATTCCTGTAAGTTGCTAAAAATTGTCTTGGTGGAAAACTACACGGAGATTTCAGAAAACACACTTATTGAAAATTCCGTCATTTGTAAAAATTGCAAAATTGGAAAAAATGTAAAAATTGTCAACAGCATCATCGGGAAAAACTCTCTTATAAAGGACAACGTAACGATTGTGAGCTCCTTTATCTGTGAGAATAATATCATTAACGAGAGTGTACACATTGACGAATGCTGTGTTGTGGGGAAAAATATGAACATCCCGGCGGAAACGAAAATAGGCAAGTATACCAGATTAAGCGCGTTTAAACACCTAAAGGGGCATTTGAAGGTGCACAGAAGGAGCAAAGAGCAGGACGACCATTCTTCCGAAGAAAGGGAGAAGAAGGACTTTTCCCTGGACGGAAGCGGCGCAGAGGCACCCATCCTGCAGTTCGAGCAGGAGGCCGTCACCAAGGAGAATGAGGAAAACTCGCTCAACGAGAGTGCGCACAAAGACAACCAAGAGGCCGCAGGCGGGGAGAAGCAAGAGAAGGAGGACAACCAACAGGTGAAGGAAGAAAGGGGAACGATCAATGAAGTGGATGAGGAGGTGAAAGAAGTGAAGGAAGAGGTGAATGAAGTGAAGGAAGAGGTGAATGAAGAGGAGGAGGAGGTAAAAGAAAACAATGAAGAGGTGAAAGAAGACAATGAGGAGGTGAAAGAAGACAATGAGGAGGTGGAAGAAGACAATGAGCAAGTGAAAGAAGAGAAGGAAGAGGTGAATGAAGAGAAGGAGGAGGTTAATGAAGTGGATCAGGTGAAAGAAGAGAAGGAAGAAGCGAATGAAGTGGCTGAGGCGAATGGAGAGAAGGAAGAAGCGAATGAAATAGCAACGAACGCGAAAGAGCTCGCCGACGAGAACGGGGACGTGGCAGCGGAAGAACCATCACAGCACGATATGCTGCACGGAGAGCCCTTTGAACTGAACAACTTCATCGTAAAGACCAGGTATTCTGAGGACCAGCTGCGTCTTTTCTCCCTAATCGGTGACGCAGAGGACTATGGGAAGATAAAAATGACGAGCTTTTCAGAGTACGACTCGGAAGAGGAAAGTGACGAGGATTCCGTGTACTCGACATCGAAAAACTACAGCACCATGAGTGATACCAATGTAAGTGACAAGGAAGATGAATCCAATTGTAACAGCACTGCAGACATGAGTGACATAAAAAATCACTTTGACAAGATAAATTTGGAAAATGAAAAAAATTCTTTTGTAAAAGAAATATCATTATTGTGTAAAGAAGCAATTGAAAAACCACAGCATATGAGTCACAAAATTTTGGAAATGAAAAGTTTCAGACTCTCCCTAAATTACACAGACTTAGATGTTATCATTTCATTTTTCCCAATTGTTTGGGATTTCATTAATAGCATGGAGTTTGATAAAGACACATGGGTGGAAAATTTTGACAAGGCAAAATTGGACTTGTTATTTTCGTCTTTTCTTCTGGACGATCAGTTATACTACGAGACCATCTACGGTTTGATTTTAGACTTTTCCAAAAAGGAGTTCCTCACGAATGACGTTCAAAATAATGTGTACGGCTCCGACAAGTTGTGCGCGGCGTTTGAGTACATTTACCACTCGGATATCTTTGAGTTCAACTATTTTAATGAGTAAGAAGGAAAATAAAATAAAATAAAGCAAAATAGAATAAAGCAAAATAGAATAAAGCAAAATAGAATAAAGAAAAATAGAATAAAGAAAAATAGAATAAAGAAAAATAGAATAAAGAAAAATAGAATAAAGCAAAATAGAATAAAACAAAATAAAATAAAACCAAATAAAACAAAATAAAATAAAATAAAACCAAATAAAACAAAATAAAACAAAATAAAATAAAACCAAATAAAACAAAATAAAATAAAACAAAATAAAACAGAATAAAATAAAGTGCCCACATAGGAGAGCCATTTTAGTGAAGGCACGGCTACAGCCATGTTGTGTGAGCGAATTGCTTGTCACTAAAGTGACCCGCTCCTTCGTATGTTCCTATCCGCGTGAATATCACCCGTCTTTGTGCTAGCCTATATAGTTGTACATACCACTGCCCATTTTTCCTTTCCCTCCCCTCTGTAGATGGATCAGCAAAAACGAAGAGGACGAGTACTTGGCGAACAACAAGCGGCTGAAGGCCTTTGCGGAGTGGCTCGAAGAGGAGTAATTCGCTGCTAAAATAGGCAACATCTTGCTTTGTTCCTCCCGTGCGGACTGCGCTATTACGCTAGTATGTCTTCTTCTTTTTATGTATTCTTTTTGATTTTTTATTTTCACGCGTTCCTACGTTATTACATATGTTTGAACGCAGTTATGCATGCTAGTTCGAATGCTATTGTTGTGCTTATTTGCCTCCATTTGTGGCATTCTCTTAAGCAGTAGAGTAATATTTACATCGTCCTGCTACGCATGCATTTGGCCCACATGCACCCGGAGCCCCCCCTCCTTCCACCCTCGATTCGTTCCCATATGAGGTCTTCATTTTTAACATATGCATAATTACGATGAATGCATTTTCTTTTTTTTTTTTCACATAAAGAATATAAGTTTTGTTTCTCTTCTTTAACACCTTTGGCGATTCTTCTCTAATTGTTACCTTACAACAAAGAGCGTGTAACTTTAGGGAAGGGCAAAAGGGGTGCATCGAATGATGTGGCGCCTTATATACGCACGTGCATGCGCGTGGATGTTTATCAGTGTGTAGAGATTTATGAACAGCTACATCTACATATGTGATCTTTTGCGAAGGCACATGTGCAGGTGACCACATGACTACATAGCAACGTAGCAAACCGACGAACGCAAGCACTGTTGCCATAACCCATGTGGTGTTAGATTACTTCTGTCAATACATTTTTACAAAAGTGTGGCGTCACTCTACGCTGCCATATATAAACATCCATTTTATAAACATGGTTGATACGAAGTGTGCGCGAAAGGATAACTCACCAACTCACCGACTACCCTCCTTATACTTCTCCTCCTTGGTCATACCACTTGTCCTATCTTTCCCCTGCACAATATCTCAACGGCGTGTGCTTATTTTGTAGGCCTTTATATATGCCTGTGAAGGTGCGTAAATCTTTGCATACGTGGTGACCCTCTCCCGTGGATAATATTTTATGACCATTTTTTTGGACAACTTTGTTAGGCAACTTTTTACAAAAATGAAAAAAAAAATGTGCAATTCGTAAAAAATGGGGTTCCTTGATGCTACATGTGGTTAAGAGCTTTTCTTCACATTTTATGAGAAGAAGAAAAAAAAAAAAAAAAACGCGGGTGTCGGTGTAATATTTGTATAACTCCCTCAACGGTGTTGTCAACGCTGAATGTCCATTTAACCGTGTAACATATACATTTTGACAAATAAGAAAAAAGGTCATATATGACATCTGCTTCATACATGTGGGGGAAAAATAATCACAAATAGATTAGTAACGGATGGTGCTGTTCACCAGTTGGTATGCTTAATTTGTTAACCTTATCTCAAGGGGCTTCAT